GTACCAAGACTTACACTGTGAACCGATCACAGCGTTTAATTTTATTTTCAGCTTTTATCAACTTAAGTTAGACTATGAATGATAAGTTACAAACATTAATCAAACTACAGTTAAAGACACAAATGCAGCTACGAGAGGAAGCATCCTGAAAATGTGAAAAATTATTTGCTGTTTCAATGTGCATTATGAATTTCAGAAGCTAATTACTCCTTTTGCATCTTGGTCTATCTTACCTGTTTCAACAGTGACGGTAGCTCATGTGATCTTAAGGGGACCTCGTTGTTAGCAACTGCATGATCAATGCCTCTGCTTTTGAATTTCAAAGAGAAGTTGATCTCAAGTAAGAAAATTAGGACTAAAAATGAACATCATAAGTTATTTGGAAACTCGATTTGTAAAAGCAACAAATATAGTGGACTAGAATAGATCTTTGCATGTTCTGTAACGAGTAATTGATTGCAAGTCCACTATATAATGTATATGTTACTGTCTGTAAAGAGGTTTATGGATGGACATAAACTCCATTCCGCAAGAAATTTGATACTGTTTAAACAATAAATTTCAGTCATATCTTTACACAATGCTAAGCTGTTGGAGGATATTAACTAAACTAAACTTGCCTCAAATTAGTCCCTTTTGTTTCACTGTTTTGCACCTTAATAATTTACTAATGCTTTTCATTTTGATGCATTCACATAGACAATTCCACTTAAACCTCGAATATTCGATAACAAAGAATCAGTAGCACAAGCAGTACTGAGTTTTCAGCTTATTCATTTAGGTCAATCCACAAACATATTAGCTTCAATGGCATAACATTAGTGATTAGAGGTATCGAATACAATATCAGCGATTGCTCATAACCTGATCTGCAGAACGATTTTATCAACTTCCAATACGAAATACCTAGTGTTAGTAAAACAATCCAAAGTTTGACAGCAACCCATACATAGTTCAAAAAGTTACTCCATCAAACATGAAAGTCGAATAATTCTACTTCAATTTTCCAAAAATTATGTATGTGTGCGCTTAGAGGTACAAATTTTGTGTTTGAATTTTAGATTACTAAATGAGTTAGTAAAGCAGAAACAGAGAAGAACACGGACTTGGCTAGAGAGAGGCAGAGGTCGCTGAAAACTGAGAGATCATTTAGGTAACCAGTCTGCATATACATAGACATCAAATCAGCCACCGTCTCCACAAGCATCGACGCCGTGCCGGCGGTGGGCACATTCACGGAGCTGCTCGTTGATTTCTCCATTTCAGAGAAGGTGCAGTATGCTTCTTCTCGTTTCCGAATTTGCTCAACAGCAGTAGCAAATCAACAGATTTATGGTGCTTTGGTTCACGTTGTTGGCGCTCCATTTTTGGATTTGGTTCTTTATCGTTTTGCAATCTGTTACGTGAAGCAATAAGTTAAAAACCGTTGTACAGCAAATCATGAATTCCAAACTTGGGATGTCTTCTTCTCCAAGCCAAAAGTATGTGTAACTGTGTGTGCTGATTATTTAGAAATAATGGTTTTAATTTATAATACTAATTCAATAAGCCACTGATTTGTTAGTACCGGTTTTTGGTTTGTGGTGGGGGTAGGGCGGGAAATGGAATATCCAAATTTATTAGGACTAGTACTCCATCTATTGTGAGGTAATGCATATTTATTAAGAAAAATATTCAATTACATAATTTAAATCATACTTTTCACTGTTATTTTTTGTGAAATCAAAAATATAATTTTGTATGTAAGTGCAATTTATCTCTTAGAAAATATCAAACTGCATTAAAGAAAATGATAAATATGAAATAAGTTTCAAATATTTATCTTGAACTTAGAATAATTTAATTATTTTGACCGATAAAATAATCCGAAAATTTTAGTTAATGGAATAGAGGAGTATTTTGTTATATTCCTATTTTAGTGCTAGTATTGTTCGTGATAGAACAATCTATCTTCAGTTTAATTGAGCGGTTAGTTTTATCCCTTAAAGGCTAAAGCTAGGTAAATCTTACCGTTTATTTACAATTACTAAAATATCCTCTCTTTTTTTGTTTGGGATGGGAAGTGGGTGGGGGTTAAAAAGCCAGATAAAAAATAACAAGTGCAATTAAAAGACCTTTAACTGCAAGTCCATTCCTACACTTCTCATTTCACTTATCTCCTCATAATTCCAAGAAACACCATAGGACGCATGCCTACACTTCCACAATATTTTTTACACGATATTGATAGTGTTTTTTTTCCTATGTGGTACATAGCTGTTTTAAGGTTCGACTAATTCAAATTTACAGCGAGAAGTTCTATTTTGACGATAAAACATTCTTTATCAAAGATGATTTCATACTCAAGACACGAACCCAAATTGAATAAAAATGTACTTATCACTCTATTACAATCTTTGCTCCATTTCCAAAAAACATGATTAAAAAAAAAAAAGTTACATGTAAAACTCTAATAAGTTGTCATTAGCTTAATGATTAAAAATGCATACTTGATTTAATTAAAGGTCGAATGTGCTATCACAAATAATATAAGGGCTAAAATAGGAATATAGAAATAATTCAAAGACTACAATGCTATTTTCCCTAAAATTCTTTGTGATGCTATTTAAAAAAAATGAATTTATGTGTTAAATGGTGATGAAATACAGTAATAATGAGCAAATAGAAGAGGTGAACAAAGAGAGAATGAAAGGAGAGAAAGAGCAAAAGAGAAACAATGGAGAGGGAGAGTCATTTCAGTAAATCCCTTAGATTGTTTACCTGAAAATCAAATCCTTATAATTTAGCCCAAATAAATACGCATAGTAAACTATTTTTGACCGGCTAAAAACAGTAAAAGAGGTAAGTTAAGTATCTAAAAGTGGTTATAAAAAAGTAGTAGTTTATAAGTTTATTTTAAGTTAGCCTGCAAGGACATGATGGAGTGGTGGATCTCTCATGTGGGAGATCTGAATCGAATTCAATCTTTATTTAATATTCAATTTGTGAATTTATCGTATGGAGAGCTTGTCTTGTATAGTTCTTCAGATGTATTGACTGAATAATAAAACGTAAGTAAGACATTTTATGAAGAATAATAACGTGTAAAGGTGGAAATTAAATTTAAAAAAATCGTAATTGAGACGTATGAAAAATAATATTGTATAGATAAAAAGTAGGGAACCGACTATTTGGAGAATTAGTAATAATTAAATTAAAAAAAGCATAACGGGGCGATCTTTTTGAGATTGACAAAGAAGTCGGATCTTAAGCCAATTAAAAGTTGTCCACAGATGTTGAGCAATACGTGGTGAAATCTCAAGTGAGATATTGTTAGCGTCCAAATTCCATGAAGGGCTAATCCATCGGTGGCCCCCTAAACTTGGCACCAACTTTCACTTAGACACCTTAACTAGACTTTGTCCATTTTAGACACCTCAGGTAAGTTTTCGTTGTGTCATTTTGACACTTTTTGCATACACATCGTAGAGAGTGTGATACACTCATTTATAGCGCGTGAAAAGCTTATTTAATCAATTTTTAATTATTTTTTCTTCTTCTTCTTCCCCATTTTCAGCCTCCATTTTTCAAGCTTAACTCCATCCATGGTGAATATTTTAAATTTTTTTAAAAAGGACCTATTTTCAAGATTTAAATATTGAAATAATCATGAAATTCTTTTTTGGAGAAATATTGTAATGGAGAAGTGGATTTGATTTTTCTTCTTCCTTCACGGGCTTTCAAACTTTTCTTTCACTGTAAGCACTCTCTTAATTTTTTTTTCCAGTTAATTTTAATGATTTCCGTTCAATTTAACTGCTTTGTTATTGATTAAGAAGAATTTGAATCCATGATTTAGTTTTATTCTTCTATAATAAAAGGATTGGTGTGTGATTGAGATATTTTTTGTTAATTGATTAAATATTTTTTTAATTATGTGGGCAAAAATGCCACATGTCATCGATTCATTGGCTACTTTTGTTTGTTTCTCAAAATTTATTATTTAAGAACGATTTTGGGCACAAATGACAAATGTCTTCATTTAATTGGACACTTTACACGTCATTCGCGAGTGCATTACACACATTACATATTTTCGCTGATTGTAAAAAAAGTGTCAAAATGACACAACGAAAATTTACATGAGGTGTCTAAAATGAACAAAGTCTAGTTAGGGTGTCTAAGTGAAAGATCGTGCCAAGTTTAGGGGGCCACCGATGGGTTAGCCCTTCCATGAATCCATCCAATGCAATTTGTATAGTTAATTTCAGAAAATTATATTTATTTTTATCTTTTTTAAAATAATTTTTATATTTAGTAATAATTTAATTTAAAATATTTACTCTATCCTTAATAAAATTATCCGCACAAATACTGTAACTTATTTCAGACCATAAATTTTAAAAGTCAAGCTCTATGTCAAGTCAAACTAAGTCATATAAATTGAGAATAGGAATAATAACTATTCCCTCCGTTTAAAAAAGAGTGACCTAGTTTGACTTGACACGAAATTTTAGAAAATAAAGAAGACTTTTGAATCTTGTGGCTCTAAATTAAAATTATATTTAATGTACTAAATTGCCCTTTAATCTTGTAGCCTTAAACATTTCACTTGGAAAATTGAAATTAAAATGTTACCAAAAAAGAAAAAATATTATTCTTTTAAAATAAATTTAAAAAAAAAAGAAATCATTCTTTTTGAAACACAGATATTAATTGACCACGACCTTTGAGTTTCAAGTTAAATGAAAGGGTACTTTAATTTCCCCTTCCAACCAACTAAAGAGTAGAACGTAACTAATGTTGAAGAGATATGCATTGATGTGGTCAGTAGTGACCTTGGGGACACGGGCTCAAGATATACCGACCGTCACGTGTACTACTCGTGTCGGCATTACAATTTGTTCTTGCAGGAAAAATATCTAGTTATCCATATCATAACTTTTTTACGTGTCAACACTTATAATCACGGAACCACATCCTCCTATAAATAGACAACACTTTTAAAGCTCAAAATATCTATTCCTCAAGCACTAGATACATTTTCAATCAAGTTTTTAAAACTACAGCTAGAATGGCAGATTTCATGGAGAAAGCGATGAATTTCGTGTCGGAGAAGGTGGGGAACATGGAGAAACCGGAGGCTGACATCACGGATTTTGATCTGAAAAAAGTTAGCATGGACAGTATTTCATATCATGCCAAAGTGGCGGTGAAGAACCCTTACTCTGTTCCTGTACCCATCATGCAGATCTCTTACACTCTCAAATGCTCCGGAAGGTCCAACAAATACTATTTTTTTCTGTATAGTTTAGTATGTATTCTATATACTCATGATTTTTTTGTGAAATAATTAATACAGGGTTATAGTATCAGGAACAATTCCGGATCCAGGGAATATAAAGGCAAATGACACAACCATTTTAGATGTACCAGTGAAAGTTCCTCACAGTATGCTAGTGAGTTTGGGTAAGGATATTGGTAAAGATTGGGACATTGACTATAAACTGGAATTAGGTCTCGCCATTGACCTTCCAGTCATTGGAAATTTCACAATTCCACTCTCTCATAGCGGCGAGATCAAGCTTCCATCACTCTCAGACTTATGGAACGGTGACAAAGAAGAAGACGCTGAAAAAGAGATCTGAAGTAGCATAATAGCGCGCGCTAATAATACTTAATAATTACTACTAATTAATGCTTTGGTTTTATTATGGGTGTTTTTTTGTATTTTGTTTCAAAATCCAAAGCACGATTGGATTTTTGTTTGATTTTCCAACAGCCCAAACCCAGTTTTGGGGCTTAATTAAAAATTACAAGGGTGTTTTTCTTATTTTGTGTTGCGCGTTACACTTTTTTTTTTTGGAAAAGGCTCAAATATGCCATCGAACTTTTAGAAAAAGCTCATTTATGCCATCCGTTAAAAGTTTGGCTCATATATGTCGTTGCTGTTAAAGAAAAGGCTCATCCATGCCATTTTTTTAACTCTAGTTTTGCAAAACCATTTCTTTATATCCCAAACATGGTTTAACACTTTTTAATTGGAATTTTTGGATCAAATGTATACTTTTTGCTTGTTTTTCTTTAAAAATACCAAGAACACATGAAGAACATAAACAACTCTAAAATTTTCACATTTTCAATTCTTCACGAAATCATCTCAAATTTCGGCTACACCATTAATTTCTTTTTTTTAAAAAACAAAAATTCTAAAATCATTTGTAGAGTTCAAAAAATTCACCCATATTTAAAAAATATATTCCAAAAAACGAAAATCAGTCCCAAAATTTCAAAATTTGCTTTGATTCTTGTTTTTAACATTAGATCTGTGTTGACTAGTGTTTTTTGAGTTTATGTTCAAAATTTCAAATGATTTGAAGTTTTGGAGAATCTACCATTAAAGAATGTTCAAGTTTTGAAACTTTGAAGAAATTTCAATTGGGTCTTGTTGAGTTAGGTTGAATTCGAGCTCAAAAGAAATTGAGTTTTGGTATCTAGCTCGGAGCGAAACTACTCTTGAAATTTGAAGCGATTCATGAAGAATTGAATAAGTTTGAAATTTGGGAATTGTTAATGTTCTTTATATGTTCTTGGTGTTCTTAAGGATGTAGAAGCAAAAAATGTACATTTGATTCAAAAACACCAATAGAAAAGTGTTAAACCATGTTTGGTGTGTAAAAAATGGTTTTGCAAAACCGGAGTTAAAAAAAATGGCATGGATGAGCCTTTTTTTTAACAGCAATGACATAAATGAGCCAAACTTTTAACGAATAACATAAATGAGTCTTTTCTAAAAGTTCGATGGCATATTTGACTCTTTTTTTTTTTTTTAAAGTAGAACCACATGGTATAATTAAGATATATACAGCACGGAACAAAGGTGGTTTTAAGTATATTATATGCAAGCGCAGCTCTCGCCTACCATCTTAATAGGTAAGAAACCTATACTGTATTATTTACTTATCCCATAAGATCTCATCTACCACTATTTATTGAAAACTATAACTCCAAACCAAATAATTGGATACCATATTCGAACGTATAACTTTATCTGAATCCCACTCTATCACTACTCTCTATTTTAATTTATATATATTGGTAGTGTTTGATTTGAACATTAAATGTAACGTTATTTTGATGAGCATAAAATTTAAGGATATAAATTTTAGGTGATTATAAACCATGCTAATCATAAAGTTAAGTATAGAACTACGATATTCATATTAGGACAAACAAAAAAATGTATCATCACAAAAGTTGAGAAGTCACTTTGAGATGGTCTAAAAAATGAGGCAAGTAAGGTAAGGGGATTATTACGAAGAAATTCCAAAACTTTCGAAGGACATATGTAGACCTATCTTTGATCATTCTAATATCCAAAACTATTACTCCTCTATCCTAATTTATGTGACACATTTTGGATTTCGAAATTCAAACAAGTCTATCTTTGACTGTAAATTTTTTATATATTTTTTAAATATTTTGAATTATCAATTATTGAGACTTATAGTACTTTAAGGGCCCGTTTGGCCATAGATTTCCCAAATAATATTTGGGGGGGGGGGGGGGGGGGAATTTGGCAAATAGTGTTTGTCCATACAATTTGTCATTATTTGGCAAATATCCCAAATTCCCAAATATTAGTTTTTTCTTGTATTTGGGCAAAATCTCATTATTTGGGATCTTTTGAAAATTGAAATTTTATACCAAACTTTTATCTTTTACAAAAACACCCTCTATAGTAGTTATTGCGTTGTATTACATAATTTTTTACGTGAACACCAAAGTAGTGATGAAATATGAAAGTGATGATATGGTTGTTGATGAAAATGATAAACAATCGGCTCAGGGTAACAAAGTCATGTGCTTTGTCTACTTCACGATGTATGGAATGATGCTTGTTGCACTCACTCCAAACTACCACATTGCTCTAGTGTCATGAACACTACTTGTTATTTGTTGCAACGAAGATCCAATTGACTTGTAATACAAATTTATTGTTAGTTTTGATAGTTTTTAAAACTTATGGGTATAAATAATATTTTTCTAAAAAAGTGAAATATATTTCTCAAATACTATGGTCAAACACATGGTGAAATTTCACCCAAATAATATTTGCCAAGAATATTTGAAATCTATGACCAAACTCTAGCTTAATGTAGTTTACAAATATATAAATTTTATTTTAAAAAATTTATGAGAATTTTTTTTGTCAAACTTAATCTGTTTGACTCTCGAAAAGGAAAATGTGTCACATAAATTGGGACAGAGGGAGTATAAAAGAAAATAATTGAACCATCTCGAGATCCACAAATCAAGTTTTCATTTCATGGTACTACAAAGTATCTATAAATTATTGTGAAATACCTGGTGGAATCCCAAGTGAAATGGAAACGCCCTTTCTTATTAAATAAAACACTTGGCAATAGAAAATTGAGACCAATTTGCACTATGAAACATCACAATCACCACGTTTGACAAAACTGTAAAGTTATTTAAGCTCTACTCGGTCCATATGGAGCTTTTCTGCCCTTCCACGCTCCAACGAATATGCTGAAAATTGATGTTTTAGATCTGCACTAATAAAGCAATCAAAGAACGCGAGGCGCTACGCGCGCCGGAGATACTGACATTCATGTATGCGTAACCTGTCCTCATTACGCTCCTACTACCGACTATCTGACAACCTCTAAATTGTTTATTTACTATATATACCGTATACGTATATAAATTATAGTATGTTATATTTGACATACATACACATGACAAATAGCGTCGATATATTTTAACGAGCTATGTAATTAAATCTTGTTGCAGTAGTCATAAATGACACAAATTAAGGTCCAATTTTCGTCCCCTTATAAGATTTCTTGTTATAATACTAGTATATTTTTAATTTGTGACTTAAAAAGTTATTTAGAGTTTAGCTGATAAATACCAATTACTGAAAATTAAAGTACTTTTAAATGTTGATGTTAATTTTATAAAAAATAATTATACTAGACATGTCAACTAAATAATTAGTACTGCTCTCTCTATTCCTTTAGGTTGCACCCCTTTTTATCCTTTTCTAAGTATGCTTTGAAAGTAATGTTATTATTTATAATTAGAAATTTTAACTAATTTTAAAAATATTGTTATATCAAATAAAATAATATCATGTAATTAAAACAAGAAGATTACTTTGCCATAATGTAGTGTTACTTTTCATATTATTTTATTAATTAATATTAATAAAGTTAAACAACCTAAATAAGAAGCACTATTACGACACGAGGAGAGAATAGCGCGTCAATTCTGACCCTTCACGCGGAAGTATATGTGATAAACAGTAGACTCTTTTTCTATATTTGTATATCCCATAACAGGAGCAGAGTAGAGATATTCGTTTAGCACAAAACAGGCCTACTATTCAATTCACTTTCCTCCCAACGTTGTCGAAGAAGAAGCATGGATCTGATTGACAAGGCGAAGAATTTTGTGTCGGAGAAGATAGCCAACATGGAGAAACCGGAGGCAACCATCACCGACGTCGATCTTAAGGGGATCGGTTTCGACGGCGTTGCTTTTCACGCTAAAGTCGCCGTTAAGAATCCTTACTCTGTTCCTATTCCAATCATGGAGATCGATTACGTCCTCAAAAGCGCCACCAGGTTCCACTTCCTTTTACTATCTACAATTAACATTCGTATCGTATCAACTATTAACTTTTCACTTGCCATTGTGTTCCAAATTTTAAAATGTTACTTTATTTTATAATACTTATTTGATTACTCTACCCACCGGATTGCCAATCTATAGTTAGATCTACTCTGTTCTAAAGTAATTGGCTGGAGAGTAGACATAGCCAGAACAGAGCATACATAATTTCTACATAGTTATGTATGCTCTTGCAGATTAGACAGCGGAGGATCCAACTATGAATCGCAATTGGGTAGAGTTTTATATTTATCTGCCAAAAATAAGTAAAATGATGTTTTATATACTCATTCTCTCGATTCAGAAGTTTAAAATTACAATTCACAATGTTGTATAGGAGGTAAGATTGATACTCCTATTACTACATAGTAGTCATCACTTCTCATTTTATAGGATATTTAAGTAATGATAAATAAGATGGTCGATTTTACTAATTTTATCATTCATCGAGATAATTTACGAAAAATATGCTTAATAGCATATGGTATATGAATAGATATCAATCCAATAAATACAAATAAATCAATGATCTTTTGGGGGGCAAATGGAATTTTTTTTATAATAAACAAATTATTTAGGACATATATTTTTAATAAGGTCATCAACTAATACTAGATCGACCTTTTTTCTTTCATTTTCTTTGGATTGATTCTTTTTGAGTGAGATGGACCATGAATAGAATACTCGTAGTAATGGCAATTGATGATGAACAACAGGGTAATAGCATCAGGAAGAATTCCAGACCCAGGGAGCATAAAGGCAAATGACTCAACCATGTTAGATGTGCCAGTGAAGGTTCCACACAGTGTGCTAGTGAGTTTGGTTAGGGACATTGGTGGAGATTGGGATGTCGATTATACGCTGGAATTGGGTCTCATTATTGATATTCCGGTCATTGGCAACATCACCATTCCCCTCTCTTATAGCGGCGAGTATAAGCTTCCTACATTGTCAGACTTATGGAAGGGTGGGAAAGAAGAAGAGAAAAAAGAAGAAGAAGAGGAGAAAGAAGATCCATCAAAGGTTGTTGAGATATGAAGTGGTAGAGCAATCTAATAATGTGGCTTTTATGTGCCTAGTTTCTCTTCTGTTGTTTTAATAACATAAAGTTTGTTTACCTTATAAGTATCACTTCACGGATACAAAATCGACAACTTTATGCAACTCACATTACTCTTATAATACATGATTTGATGATATGTGATTTTTTATTTGCGCACAAGGTTTTAGATTTGATGATGACAGGTTTATGTGACACTTTTCCAATTTATATAGTGAAGTTTAAATGTTTCGAGTCTTAAATCTCAATTGTATTATAAGAATTGAGACACAAGGGTAATAATAATAAAATATATTTAATCAATTGATATAACATATTGAAATTATGTTGAGCTTCTTTAATACATGGTTATTTATTACAAATTCTGAATTTTTGAATAAGACACCAATTTTCATTTTTTAATAATATATATAATCAAGCGCGGAGCCACCAAGTCGTCAAGGGATCATCCTAAACCGTTCATAGAGAATTATACATGATTAAAATAATTTTTTATATCTATATAGTAGATGTTGAACTTCCCTCGACTATTTCGTGTGTCTATTTTTCCAAATTTTGAATTCTTTTGATCAAAACTTTGGTTCCGCAACTACTATAACTATATCCCGTTATATTCTTAAAATAAAGTGGTTCCAAAAGAATGTGGGCCGAAGTCATTGACTGGCGTTCTGGTTCAGCCGGCCCTGTCCAGCTGCTAATAGCAATATCACTGTTAGAGAAGATTTTTTCCAGGGACATCACTTACAAGTAAGCCTTACATGGTTGCAGTTTGAAGCGTAGCTCCTAAAGAGAATTCTAAAACATCCTTTGAAACAATCACCATGAGAGCAAATCTTAGAGCATCACTGAAGCTTACTTCACATTCTTTTTCACCCCATATTCATTCAGCATGTACTATACGATCTTCATCTTCTTTTTCTACTGCACAAAAAGAGAAGACCTTCTTCGAACCCGCAAACCAAGACCAAATGATTACACGGTTATGTAAAGAAAACAAATTCAATGAAGCCCTTCAAATTCTTTGTGAGCAAAGGCGATTGAAAGAAGCCATTCAATTGCTAGAGCTTCCCGAAACCCGTCCTTCAGCTACCGTCTTTTCGACCCTTTTGCGGATATGTATTGATAACCGAGCTCTTGAAGAAGGAAAGAGAATTCATAAAAGTATGAAATGTTCAGGTTTTAGACCTGGGGTTGTCATTTCTAATCGTATTCTTGATTTTTACTGTAAATGTGATAAACCCTTTGATGCACACAACTTGTTTGTTGAAATGCCTGAGAGGGATTTGTGTTCATGGAATATTATGGTTTCTGGGTTTGCTAAATTGGGGTTGATCGATGAAGCTAGGAAATTGTTCGATGAAATGCCTGAGAAAGATAATTTTTCTTGGACCGCCATGATCTCGGGTTATGTGAGGCAGAATAAGCCTGAATGTGCATTAGAATTGTATAGAGTGATGCAGAGGGATGAGAATGTTAAGTGTAATAAGTTTACTATTTCTAGTGCTCTTGCTGCTTCTGCTTCTGTTCAGTCTTTACGTTTGGGAAAGGAGATTCATGGTCATATTGTGAGAACTGGTTTGGATTCTGATGCGGTTGTTTGGAGTGCTTTGAGTGATATGTATGGAAAATGCGGGAGCGTGGATGAAGCAAGGCATATTTTTGATAGGACTAAAGATAAGGATGTTGTTTCGTGGACGGCTATGATTGATAGATACTTTGGAGATGGGAGGTGGGAGGAAGGTTATTTGTTGTTTTCATGTTTGATGGAATCGGGAATTAGGCCTAATGATTTTACCTTTGCTGGAGTTTTGAATGCATGTGCACACCAAACGACAGAACATTTTGGAAAACAAGTACATGGGTACATGACGCGTATTGGCTTTGATCCTCTTTCCTTTGCAGCAAGTACCTTAGTTCATATGTATGCCAAGTGTGGGAGCATAGATAGTGCATACAAGGTATTTAAGCGGCTCCCGAGGCCTGATGTAGTTTCTTGGACCTCACTGATTAATGGTTATGCTCAAAACGGCCAACCTAGTGAAGCTCTTCAGTTATTCGACTTGTTGCTTAAATCTGGCACTCAGCCTGATCATATTACATTTGTCGGGGTTCTTTCTGCTTGCACTCATGCAGGTTTAGTTGATAAAGGGCTTGAATATTTCTACTCGATAAAGGACAAGCATTGTCTAATCCATACTTCTGACCACTATGCTTGTGTGATTGATCTCCTGAGCCGATTTGGCAGATTTAAGGAGGCTGAAGAGATTATTAGTCAGATGCCAATGAAACCTGACAAGTTTTTGTGGGCTTCCTTGCTTGGAGGATGCAGAGTCCATGGAAATGTTGATCTAGCAAAGAGAGCAGCTGAAGCACTATTTGAAATTGAGCCCGAGAATGCAGCTACTTATGTCACCATTGCAAACGTATATGCCACTGCTGGTAAATGGACTGAAGTGGCAAAAATCAGACAAGTCATGGAAGAGAAAGGTGTGGTGAAGAAGCCAGGTATAAGTTGGATCAATTTGCAGAGAAAAGACTACGTTTTCTTGGTCGGCGATAAATCACATCCTAGATCAAAGGAAATATACGAGTTTTTAGGGGAGCTTTGGAGGAGAATGAAAGAAGAGGGATATGTCCCTGACATAGATAATGTGCTACATGATGTGGAAGAGGAACAGAAGGAGCAAAATCTTTCCTATCACAGTGAAAAGCTCGCAGTTGCCTTTGGAATTATAGCAACTCCGCCTGGAACACAGATAAAGGTTTTTAAGAATCTAAGGACATGTGTTGATTGTCACACTGCGATTAAATATATCTCTAAAATAGAAGAGAGAAGAATTATTGTGCGAGATTCCAGTCGGTTTCACTGTTTTGAAGGTGGGAGTTGTTCATGCAAGGACTATTGGTGAGTTTCCCCTCTGCTTTTTGAAAGAAACGGTTGGGTTTGTTTAAAGGTTAAGCCTTAAAAGACAAAGGTGTAATGTGAATTGAGAAATGGAGTGAAAAATGAAATTTGAAGAAAGTTCATTTCTCTCTCAGTGGTGGTGAAGAGAAAGCCTTTGTGCTGCTTATATATAGAAACACTACTTCTAGCTCTTAAAAGAGTTGAGAAGAGAGTCACCCCTTGCACCGTTGTCATCGTCGCTCGGTTTCGGCAAATGATTGATTGATAAAATTATTTAACTGAATTTTCGGATTTTTCCAACATAAGTTTGATTCACTCATTTTGTTGAGTTCGTTAAAGTTTTGCAATTTCGATTGTCAATATTGGAGAAGTTTCATTCTATCATGGGAGGAATGCAATTGTGAAAGGGTTAATTTCTTTAAGGAAACACAGTTTTCTGTTGGCTTTGAACTTTATTTTTCTGTTACTGTTATTTTTGTTTCTGTTTATACTTTGATTGCATGAATAACATAAATTATCATGTCTTGATAATGAACTGCAATGGTTTTGGAACAATTTTATCTTTTTCCAAAGAAGGTAACAATATTGTAAATCATCAGCACAAAGGCTATGCTGGAAGCCCTATTTACAAGTTCAAAACGAGCAAAAGTATAAGTCCTTGTTCTCCTTGCAAGGATCCAATGATGTCTAACAGTAACATGGAAACTAAACCTGACTCTGAAAAAAAAAAGAGTTATTTGTCACCTTTTTTTTCCCTTTCAAACCGACAATTGCAATTCTATAATTTAACAAATATTCTTATGATTTAAGAATCTTAAATATCTTTCTTAAAATATGTGTGGAAATAACTAAAAAGATATGAAGACTTCCAAATGTCTTTAAAATATGTTGGTAATCTCCCATAAATTATAGGGTTAGTTGGTGAATTTGAACACCTGTCCTGTGAGGGAATTGACTATTTGGACATAGCATTATTACTAAGGTGAGCATTTCCTCCAACAACCAACTAACAATCCTCCCATTCCGTTTAATTACTCACAACATTATTGTCAGTAAAAATCCACTTCAACTTTGTTCTTTGACATCACAATTCGAATGCTGGATTCAGGATGGAGTTAGAAGACAACTTACGAATTCGATCGATCCCAATAAATTTATATTAGTATAAAATTATAAGTGTTTAAAGTTGTTATAGAATTCCTAAAATTTAAATTTTGAATCTATTTTTTTCCATCAGAATTAATAAAATTTAAATTTTGAATTTGTTTCTTTCGTGTTTGTTTGTATTGTAATGTTTACTCAAAAAGATAAAAGACTTTGAGTCAACATTGACAGTGGAATAAACCTACCATATACCTTCTCCACTCACAAGACATTTTATTTTATTTATATAAGGGAATTAACACAAACTCAAACACCAAAGTCCCAAAATTTTTACATCTCAAATAGTACAACCATTTCTCCTCTTAGTTTCAAGACTCAATAAAGATGGTGGGGAGAGATCAAGTTAGACCACTAGCTCCAGCATCCGACCGGCCACATAGCAGCGACGACGATGAAACAACGTTAAACGTCAAAAAAAGGTTTCATCAAAGAAGATGTTTCAAATATTGTGCTTGTGTATCAACCTTTCTTTTCCTTCTAGCCATAATAATTATCATTTTGATCTTCACAGTGTTCAAAATAAAAGACCCTATTATTACAATGAACGGTGTCACAGTTGAAAAACTAGACCTCGTCAACACTAGTGGCAACCTTTTACCTATCCCTAAACCAGGTTCCAACATGACCATAAAAGCTGATGTCTCAGTGAAAAATCCTAATTATTCATCATTTAGGTATAGTAACACGACCACCACTATTTCCTATCGCGATACGGTCGTCGGGGAGGCGCGGGGCCCGCCGGGGAAATCGAAGGCACGGAAGACTATGAGGATGAACGTAACGATTGATATTATTACGGACAAAATTGTGTCACATCCTGGCTTACAAGATGATATTAGTAGTGGTTTGCTTACTATGAATAGCTACACAAGTGTTGGTGGGAGAGTCAAATTGTTGAATATGATCAAGAAATATGTTGTTGTGAAGATGAATTGTAGTATTACTGTGAATATTACTAGCCAGTCAATTCAAGATCAGAAGTGTACCAAAAAGGTTAAGCTTTAGATAGATATATATTAGTAGTTAATTTTTGTCATGATATTTTTTTTTTGCTACTACATCTTTAGTTTTGAGTATTGTATACTTCTTGTTGTTCATTATAAAATGAGTTTTTTTGTGATAGGTTAGATGTTACTATATATCAGATCTTGTTTATACCAGTCATTTTCAATAATAATATTTTATTATAACGATTAAGCTGATTTTTCTTGTATGTTGTATTATATGCTCTCTATAATTATCAAGGCCAAACAATATCTAGATAAACGACGTACATATATATTTTGATACACTAGAGATGACATTGTGTGATTAAGCAAACCTAATTTGTGTGCTCTTATCCCTCTTCCTGGATTTATAAATATGGGTATGATCACAAATAATATGATCTTATAAGTGACAAAGAAGATTATTAATTAGAGTCAATTTTGTTAGAAGGGGCAAGAAAAAACTATCCTAATTAATTAGGAAGTTGACATCAAATGAATCCGTATTTTTCATTGTATTATTTAAGCATCTTTTAATTTCCCTTCAAATTTCAAAATTTCAAACTGCATTTAATTAAAGGAAGACAATAAGTTTCTACCAACTACTCCTACATATCACAGGGGATCGTTCTCAATAATGCGAAAATACTTAATAATGGAAGACTTGTTGTTAGGTAGTAAATTAAAAGCATATTAAGTACAAAAATAATGTGAAAGATTGACTTTTCATCATTTTCCTAAACCTGATATAACAAGTAATTGCCAGCATAATTTAAACACTCAACATGGGCAAACTTCATTTTATATTAAAATCAATAATTTGGATTGAATGAATTAAAGCAAGGTCTTAATCATAATTATTATAATATATATTTAACATTTAGACATGATACAAATATAGTAATTTGGAATGAACGTGGTAGGCAATGGAAAAAATCCTTAGAAGAAAACGGCAACTTTTTAATTAAATATTTTTCTTCTTTGTTATTATGACCTACCATTAATTAGTAAACAAATTTCACGAGGCATCCTATTTAGACGCAACCATTTAAAATGTATTTATTTGTTTCAAATTATTTAATTAACGCCCACTTTTAATAAACTTCGGACAAATTTTGGAGACACCGTCACCGGCTCACCGCCGCCAACACCATCCAAATTAAATGCCATAAAAAATAAAAGAAAAAAAAACTACACTGGTCAACTTTTTTCCATATATATACCCTCTATACTCCTTCCATCCCATTTTATGTGAGGTGCTTTGACTCATCACAAAGTTTAAGGAAAAAAAAAGTTTTTAAAATTTGTGGTCTAAAATAAATGATAGAAACTTGTGTGGCTGTAAATCAGTTCTTAAGAGTAAAATAGACATTTTAAATTTAAATTGTTACTTAATATAGAAATTTGTCATTTTTTTTTTAAATCAACTAAAAAAGAAAGTTTGAGTTTTTTCTTTTATTATTTTTTTGAAATCTGATCATCTAGTTGGATTCTACTGGGTGGAGTATAGTTGATGGATTAACCGTAATTGCTCAAATCTTTTTAATTATTGCATCACACACATTTTCTTGCAAATAGTATGGATAACTTCAACTTATATATCAAATGGTCACTCAACTTTGCATACTTTACAAAGTCACTCAACTTTGAGTTATTCACTTAGAAAGTCACTTAACTTTATTTTATAACTCAAAAGTCACTCAACTATTGACATTTCACTTAGAAAGTCACTTAACTATTGATATTTTACTTAAAAAGTCATCCTACAAATTTAAATCATTTATTTGTTAAATTTTGTTGAAATCATATTTTTATTTTTAATTTTTCTTTTTTAAATAATAAGATATTTATTTTAATTATCTTATTGACCTTCTTCAATTATTTAATCACATCTTTTTTAAAAAAAAAAAACGTGAAGTAGCATTTTTTAACAGTATGTTTTAGCAAGACAATTGCTAGAACAGAAAAGCAGTTTTTTTTTTTCTCTCAACTGCTACGATAAGTTTAAAATAGTAATCTTTTATTATTTTTTATTAAATTAGTAGCAATGCTACTGTATGTTTTAATTTTAATTTGTCAATTGCAACTGTACGTCTAAAATAGAAATCTTTTATTAAACTAGGAGTAATCGAAAAGATGCAGTAGCGATCTTTTATTTTTTTAAAACTAATTTAAAATGAAATTGTATTTTAACAAAATTTAATGAAGAAATTATTTATATTAGTTGGATGACTTTCTAAGTAAAATATCATTAGTTGAGTGACTTCTTATGTGAAATATGAATAATTGAGTGACTTTCTAAGTGAAATATGAATAGTTGAGTGACTTTTGAGTTATAAAACAAAGTTGAGTGACTTTCTAAGTAAACAACTCAAATTTGAATGACTTTCTAAGTAAAATATGCAAAGTTGAGTGACCATATGAGATATTATTTCTACCCATTTAGTATATATGATTGAAATTAGGCAAATATATTTCCTGATCTCATGTCTAAATATCTGAAATTTGATCTTGTCAAGGTCATAACTTTAATAAGAAATGCTTAAAGTTAGATCTTATTAAGGCGACAATTTTAATAAAAAAATGTCTGAAGTTCTTCCAAGTTCCTCCAAGGCTAGAATCGAGTCGAATATTTCTGAAGTTTGCCTTGTCAAGTTTACAACTTTAGTAAAAATATTTAAAGTTGGCATTGGAAAAACTATCCCAAACTTCAGGCAAAAATTTCTGATGCTTGACCTTCATAAGACCACTTCTGATACAAACGTTCAAAATCAAACGCAATTTTTTAAACTTCAGTCGCATATGTTTGAAGTTATGTGAGAAGCGGATAGACTAAATTAAGGAAATGGTGACCCAAAAATCAAGAATTTGTGCACTTTTGTCAACTGATCTAAAGTCTCAATTCGTAAAAAGCCCAATTGATAAAAGCCCAAAACTATTGAATCATGTAATTTGATTTTTGTGTGTTTTAACAGCAAAAGAGGTTTGTTAATTAAAAATTAAATTACAGTACAGCTGGAAGAATCAAAAGAAACAAATTAAGCATTCAAAATTAATTCCTCTATCATATTGGGACCATCTTTAATGAAAACGAACACGTAAACAGAAATAATAATAATGTTGAGAAAGACAATTAACCACTATGATAGCAACTTGGCTAGTGATTGCTTCATGAATTTAGCATTTCCAAATACTCACGGTTTATTATCAATATAAAAAATAATGTTTCATTTATCGGCTATGATATATATGTAGCACCAATAATTGAATATAACTTGGTCCCATCCATTTTACTTGTTGTGGTTATTAAAAGTAATGGCTCAAATATACTTATTTTAGACTAGTTAAAATTAATCATTTTTTCCACATTTGCTCTTACTCTAATAAATATGAAGAAAGACATTTACCACAAATAAAAGTTTTTCCTACCGCGAATTAATGAGAAATTTATTTTCCCATTCATTTCCCACAAATCAGCTTACTGGAAAAATGCATGGTGGAAAATAGATTGTCACTAAAATAGTGGGGAAGTTTCCTATTTTTTTTTATGAAAATATTACTTCTTTTCACTCATCGATTCAATTAAAGTGTTTATGAGTCACTCAACAATATTCAATGGAAAATTAGTGATTTTTTAGTTGTGAAACTAACACAGTGAAAGAAAGAATTATATATTAAAAATGAGATTAAAAAGGGATGAAATGTTAAAGTAATTATTTTTCACAAATTATGCAAATATAAATATGACATGTAAAATAGATCCGAGAGAGTATTAAGATATATACACGGTATAATGTTCACATAGTTGAAGTGTGAAATAGTATGTATAATCTAGTTGACCAAGAATTTCTTTTTTTGTTATGTTGTTTGTAGTCAATCACTCAATCTAATTAGCCTATTATATACTTAGACATCGGAGCCCGTGCTAGCACGGGTCCAATATGTATCATTTTTTGTTTCAATTTATGTGACAAAAACAAAATTAAAGAGTTAATCAAACTTTATTATTAATTTAAAATAGTTTAAATTTTTAATTATTGTTAACTATGGTAAAAAAAAAATGAATGTCTTTTAACATTCTAAATTGCTAATTATTGTTGTATGATTTGTAATATCTTTTACACAATTTTGAAATAATAAAGGTTATTTCTTCTTTCTCAATTTATGTGGTACTAATAAAATTTCGAGATTCAATCAATTTTTTTTGTCTTTAAAATATTCTATTGTTAATTACTGTAAATTATTGTACTTTCTAAGTAATTTTCAAATAATATATATTATTTTATTTGTCCAATTTATGTGTCACCGATAAAATTTGAAGAGTTAATCAGATCTTTTACATATTTTTATATCTTTTGAATATTTAAGTAAATAATTATTGTGATTTATTATATTTTATACAATTATTTAAAAAAAATTAAACAACAAACAAAACAAATTCATCATAGAAAAATTACCAAATCATCCTTGAATACATCAATAATTGGTCCCACTTTTTGTTTAAAAAAATATGCATATTGGGAGGATATTTTTGCCCAAAGTGGAAATAGAATAAGTATAAAGCATTAAAGTCTTTTAAAATTTTAAATTGTTAATTCTTATTGTATGATTTGTAATACTTTTACGCCATTTTCAAATAATAGAGGTCATTTCTTCTTTCTCAATTTATGTAGTACTAAAAAAATTTTGAGATTCAATCAATTTTTTTTGTCTTTGAAATATTTCTAGTTCTTAATTACTGTAATTTATAATACTTTCTAAGAAATTTTCAAATAATATATATTATTTCATTTGTCCCAATTTATGTGTCACGGTAAAATTTGAAGAGTCAATCAGATCTTTTATATATTTTTATAGCTTTTAAATATTTAAGTAATTAATTATCGTGATTCATAATATTTTATACAATTATTTAGTATAGTAAAATAAATTTAAAAGAAACAAACAAAACGAATTCATCATAGGAAATTATCAAAGTATTATTCAATACATCAATAATGGGTCCGACTTTTTGTTTTTAAGAAATTGC